AGAGAGAGAGAGAGAGAGAGAGAGAGTCCCGCAACATACAGCATGTTAGTGGCAGGGAGCACAGTGGCAAGTGCTAAGAAAAAAAAAAAACGAAAAAGGTCATATTTAATTTGAATACAATAGTTTCCTTCTCGAAATTCAAATATAAAAGATACGTACACGGTCTATTTGAAGTGCCCTTCTATTTGAGAAAAGTGGACTTATGTTTAACTTAAGGACCGCAGCCTCCTCGGCCACCTACGGGCAACTACCAGTCCTCCACAAACAATAACTCCCCGTTCTCCATGAACTACCCCCCCAACAAATTCACCACTCTTTCAACTACCATTTTGACTCGAACGGACGATCGGTATGACCAGACGATGAACAATTGATTCAGGGGTATAAAACCCACCCCTGACCGGCTGCAAACTGCCTTAGCCTTCCCAAACCACACCAACAACCTTGCAGGCCTAACTCAGTTGGTACACAAGTTGCATTCAGGAGGTTGTGAGTTCAATTTTCATTCAAGTTGGCCTCTAATATATGTTTGAGCATGTCAGGTGTCCTACCACCTAGAGATAACACGTTGCCCCCCCAAGCCAGCATTGGCAGGACCTTGCCCAACGCAGCAACCGTATTGGCCATTAGACACTGCTAATGTGGGTGGTGTCTAATGTGGGGTTGGAGAAGGGTCGGTGGAGGTGCAAGTAACCAACGATAAAAATATTTTACATTAGCATCACCGATTTCCCCATTCGCAATGCCCGATCACCTTGCGTATGAGAGGCTGATACAAACCTTGCTCTTGCGCCACCACTATGGTGTAAACCTACCCCGAGGGCTGGGAAAGATCAAGGTTTGGTTGGTATTCCCCCGTACTATACATAGAGTAGTGAGAGGATACGTGAGATAGATAAGGAAAAAATATATAGTATAAATATATTATATATATATATATATATATATCATGAAAAATTGTATTCTCCTTATCTGGGGACAATTAACTGGCTTTTTCCATGTCATGGAACATATCGTTTTTCTTTCACTACCTACCTACCACTATTCCTAAGGTTATACAGAGGACACATGCGAGTATAGCTTTCTATTACTCTTTGATGAAGGGAGGTTACCTCTCCCGGTGGAGGCATGCAACGGTATGTTTGCCTCTTTGCCCTAGCGGTTTAGGGTGCAGGGTTAAGGTCGTTGGTGGGGCCCCGGCTAACACAAGGACTGAGCATTTGCCAGTAACTATGCCTCCCTTTTCATCTTCCCCCACCCCCATGGAGTAACAGTAGTGTCGAAGGCCAAGACTCTCGCACACACCACACACAACCCACTCACCACGCACTCACATCCGTGTGGTTGAAGACCTTACTAATACAGACTGTGAGGATCCTCTAATTGAACCCCCAACCTCCTAAGTGTCACTTGCGTGCCTAACTAATTGAGCTACGTTGCTGGATTGTATATAGAGTATATTGAGAGAATAATCTTTCAATATTCTTGCAGAAGATATATGCTCCGTTCAGCACATTCCAATCCGGGAGTGGTGTGGCGAGACCCTTGATCTACATCGTAGTGATTGTTTTCAAAATTTTACACACGCACCCCTAGCTGAAACCCATGCCCATAGCCTCATCATGTTTTCTCAAGAAGATATCATACACGATTTAAAAAAAAAACAAAGACCATTAAAAACTAAAAGCTAACTGGTTTCTGCCATGTTATAGAACATATATTTTAGTTAGAAAGCTACGTTAACAGGCGTCCCCTGTATAGAGGGGACGCCTGTTAACGTAGCTTTCTATCTCTCTTCGGTGAAGGCATGTTACCTCTCCCTGTAAAGGGAGGTACCGACATGTTTGTCCCGTTGCCTTAAAAGTTTAGGGTGCGAGGTTGGGGATGCTAGTGGGGGCCCCGCTAACACAAGGAATAATCATTTGTCAGTATAGTCTAAAGCCAATACTCCTCCACATCACACGCAACCTACTCACACGCGCACTCACACACATGTTGGTTGAATACCTTACTAACACTGACTAGAAAGATCCCCAGATCGAACCCGTGGCCTCTTGAATGCTACTTGCATGCTTAACCAATTGAGCTAGGTCATTGGATTACCCCCGTTAAAACCCACTCGTACGTCGGTCCCCCCCTATTGAAAATGTGCCACATTGATACGGACACCGAAGCCTACTATACCGCAACCTTAGGACTGCGAAATAATTGTCACGCTGATTTGACACATTTTTCATTTTTGCCACTTCAAGTTGCCACTCAACCATGTGTGGGCCAAGGGCGTTTGCAAAAAGTCCAAACAGGCGTACACATCGATGATATAGACCCGGGTATGGGCTCATTGGTAATAAAGCGGTTGTTGTTAATCCGCCCAACAAGTCCTCTAAAGTCAGGATCAGATCGATCCGGGACTTTGAGAGCCTGCCCGGGTCGTTGCGCTTAATACATGTGAAAGTTCTCTCCGTGGTGTAGCTACGTCTGGATGTGTCGAATAATTGAAGGGAAAAGTATAACTCCCCTAACATTCTTTCATCATTTTCTGCTTTATGGGCGATGGAGGAATTAACTCTCCATCCGTCAATCCTTCGATCTGGCGCCGTGTTGTAGTCCCATGCTAGCACCACCAGGATGTAAGGGGTAGGGATGTTCTTAAGTTTTTATAGGAATTTTCTTCTCTTACGGGGGGAGTTAGGGGCATAGAGGGAGACAATACAAATCACTTCCAGCTCTAGCATCTCGAGTACTGATACCCAACGCCCGTCCTTCTCATCCTGTTGCCAGTGGAGGACTTCAAACCACGACTGTGGAGGGACCCAGATTGCCACCCCCGCCCGCCCCAATCTCGGGGCGTAGGCCTGGTAATTTTGAAAAGGCCAGACTTTTTTTCGTGCTATGTGATGTTCCGACAGATCCATCAGGTGGGTTTCCTGTATGCACACGATGTCTGGCCACTTCTTGCCCCCCACTCCCCTCATGAGGTCCCATCGTGCCATAGTTTTTTATGGGTAGTGGGATGCACATTGCAGCCTGGGAGTTTGCGGCCCGTCAAGGTTGCGTTTTACGCCCTTGAGACCTTCAACGTCAATTCAACTTTCAACGTAGATGGTCGTTTGGGAGGGTGGGCAATTTTCAGGTGAGGGCTTAGCACGGGGCAGGCCATGCAAAGGACCAGTAGCTGCCCGTTGGAGGCGGAGGAGGCCGCGGTCCTCGAGTTTTTAACATTTTGAAATCACAACGATGTGTGTCCACTTTTCTCGAATAGAAGAGCACTTCAAATAGAGAACGTACACATGTACCCTTTCTATTTAAATTTTGAAAAAAAAAACTATTGTGTTCCAATAGAACACTACCTTTTCTTTTCTTTTCTGGAGGTCAGCACTTGCCCTTGTGCTCCCCGTCACTGACATGCTGCATGCTGCAGGGATCTCTCTCTCTCTCTTTCTCTCTCTCTCTCTCTCTCTCTCTCTCTCTCTCTCTCTCTCTCTCTCTCTCTCTCTC